TGAGCCCTGCCCGGGGCCCTGCCCCGAGCCCTGCCCCGAGCCCTGCCCCGGGCCCTGCCCTGAGCCCTCACAGACCCCGCAGGGAAACAGCTCGAGAACAAAACGGTGTCGTGAGGAGACACTGAACAGATTATTGCGTCTAAAGAGGGGGAAGATGGAGCAGGGCTGGGCTGGGCCTTCATGAGATCACAGAATGAACTGAACGCAGTGATGGGGTGGTTCTTTACGCTCGCTCTGTGGAGCTGGGAGGTGCTTAATTATCCAGTGTAAGAATAAAAAGAGCTGGTTTTTTGTTAATAAACTGAAAAACAGTGCGTTGCAGCTCTCTGCCAGGTGCTTGGAGATCTGGAAATAAGTTCAAAGCTGGATTAGAGAAGGGCTGCTGAGCATGTTGATTGTGAATTCCAGATTAACAGGTCTCCTAATAGCAAACTAAATAATAACCAGCAGACCAAAGGGGCTTCCTGTAGCCCTGCTGGGCCCTGTCACTCTTCCCCAGACAAATGCAAAAATAAAACAAGAAATCAATGAAGTTCATTTCAGCAGTTGGGTTCCTGTCTTTCAGTACACTGTCATTCAGGGAAAACTCCACATGTAATGCTGCCTAAAATGAGGCTTTTTATTATTTTTTTTTCCTATTTAAGCAAACAAAAAATTACTGAGGGGGAGAAAAAAAAAAGTTGCTGACTGGGTTTTATTGTCATGCTTTCTTGCTCTGCCTGAGCTCCTTTGTGGTTTTGGATTTCAGGAGTGTGTTTCAAGGGAAAATCAGATCCTTCAGAAATGGACAAGAACTATCCAGACCCTAATATGGAAAAGTAAGTTGAAAGCTTCTAAGGATTTTATTGTGGTACAAATATTGTCACTTAGAGGCACAGCTTCTCTTAAGCCCTCTGTGGTCTCCAGCATCTCTTGCATGAAGCATGTTTTCCACTGGGAAGACAACAGGGAATTTCCTTGATCATTAGTAGGAAAGGTCTGAGAAACTTCCATAGCAGTGGGTTTCCTGGAGACCAACTGACCATGGGGTTGGGAGGACAACCTGCTGAATTTTCCAAAGCTTATTTTGGGGAACTAGTGCTGGAATGAACCACCTATTCCAAGCGAGACTGTTTGTGTCATTTCACACTTGTAAAAATAATGGAGAAACCAAGTTGTTAACCTGAAAAACGGGGCAATACTCTTCAAAAAATACATCTGGGTTCAAGTTTCTGCCCTAACACCTGTTTCCCTTTTTTTCTCCCCCAGTGATAATACAGAGCACATCAGAGCGAAGCAACTGTCCTCTGTGAGTAATTCAAAATCCAACCCTGGGAGTGAGGGGAAGGCAAGAAAGGGAAGCAGTGAAAAGAACCATTTTCTCATCACAGTGGAAGAACTCCCAGCCAAGTCATCAGTTCCTGTAGTTGGAGCTGATCTTCTCAAATACCATCTTTTCTTTCAGATTTTAAAGGCTCCACGACAGCCTTTTGAAGAGCTGGGAAATGGGAATGAGCTGACACAGGTACTTTCATGCTGGTGCTTTTAACACCTTCAGTTTGCTCCTCAACTTGTTGCTGATTAAAACAACAGTGACAACGTGTCACTAGAATAAAGCAAACACTTGCAGGGGCTGCTTAGGAGGAGAGTGTTTGGTGTCCTAAGTGTTGTAAGAAATCTGTCAAGTTTTTATTCCACTTCTGGTTTACATCAGAATGTTTATTCTCTCAGGAAAAGAGGAATAAGCAGGGAT